CCCTAAAATTAAGGAACGCTCGACCTTGACACGTGATATCGAAATGGGCGAAATCGCCTCTTGATATCACTAACTCTCCTGACTCCTGACTATCATTTACTTGACAAGTGATGAACTGAGGGATATTTTGAACATAGAATTAGAACTCTTGGAATTCCTGACATGATGACAGCTTCCACATCACCTCCTTTCAACACCTGTCTGCATGAAGCAGCTATTTTGGTTCCATCTTCATTAAGATCCTGGCCATGTTTCTGGGAGAATCCTTTCATTTCTGGTCTTATTTTTGGTGCATTTCTGGAGTTCCATCATTGCTTTCAAATGTTCCTGCCTTGTCTTTGACATTGTCATTCATTTTTGGTTTTTCACTCTCATGGTTCAGGCTTATAATATCTTATAACAATACTTGTTGACACATTGACCCATGGTATCATATTGGTCTGTATAGGAGTAAATATCTTCTTTAAACTGTTTCAGGGAGCCCTTGATATATTCACATTAGAATCCTTGCAAAATATGAGTGGAACATCTAAGTGCTCATGGAAGAGTATCAGGAATAGTCTGAAACCAGGCCTACTTTGAACACATCATCTGGATTTTTAAAGATATCAATTAATCTAATGATTGAATTGCTGCAATCCTATTTAAGTACATAATCAGGAGCTTGAGATTATGTAAATGTCATCTTAGGTAATGTATAAAAAATGACAAGGAAATTTATTATGGTTGATTTGTCAAAGATTGATATTATTACCGCCCATCCAGTAACATGCTTTCTTCAGCAGGCCAATTGGTTCCAACACATGATCATTTGTAGAGTAACACTTTCACTGTCATGTACTCTTTTGACCAACATGGTTTTGACCAAACAGCAAAATCAGTCCAATGGTGAATAATGACAATCACTCTAAAGCAGTAAGATCAGCTTCATTAAAATAGATTTCCATTCCTCATACAAAAGAGACTCCTAGAATTCCCTTAAGCCCAGGACATCATCATCCTTACCTTCATTAAATGGGAGATATGGCTGCAATCATGATTCAGAATCCAAATCTGAATCATCATTTAGATGAATAAATAATTGTCATATTCACGAATGCTAGGTATTTCAGGTGGATCCATGATTATCGTGGATTGCAAAAAATAATCATACTGGTTCTTCTTGGGAGGCTTGAAGCATTTCTGCCTTGGGAATTAGGCACTCAATGCCCATACAACATTTGATATTGTGAGGGCATTTCTTCTAAAATCTGGAATGCATGTTCCAATTTCCAATTTCTTCCAACCTTCCTACATATAAGACTGTTCTCACACCTGTGCAATTTCATCAGGAATGAGGGATTCTCAGATTGAATGGGGAGATCAACAATGTGTTTTGCAGCTGTTTTGCAAGAGGGTTCTTTCACTCTTTTCTTTTTTACTGCATGTCATCAAAGCATAGGAGTGCTTGAAATTAAAGTAACTCTTTCTTCATTCTTGAGGGATTTTTTCATTTTGTGCAGTCTGATTGTGGAAGGGTAATAGAAGTAATTGAGTCGGTTGAAGATACAAGTAAAGTTCACATCCCTATTAAGTGTTTTGATCTTATCTACATAAGGTGGTGGTAATTGGTAATGATGAGATTGCAAGTGAAGCTTGGCTGTCATTTTAAATGGGATTCTTTTAACTAGTTTTACTGGAGGGAAGGTGAACTGAGGTCAGAGTTGTCAACTATGCTATCTTTTTCCTCTAGAATTATGTAGAATAGTTATATATGAACCTGACTATCAGAATTTGACCAGACATTCTGGTAACCTTGATAGCCTCTTGGGGCTAAATGATACCTGGGAACATATATTAATGCCTTGTCAAGAATTCAAGGGTGCCTTTTGCCCTTTGACTTGTGGTCACTGGGCCCAAAGGGAGGGTGATTGTGAATGGACAAGTACTGTAGGCTTATTGTGGCAATGCGCCAAACTATTCCTCAATGGCCAAAAAATTTGGATGAGTATCATATCACTGTAAGAAATGGTTGTAGATTTGTTGATCAGAAGAACTTGGCTTTTCAGGTGGTGAGAGAAGCAGGATGAAATATGTCTGACCCATTAGGTCTTTAGAGTGACTTATATCTTTCCCTTTCAAGGATATTCTTGGTGAATCTCACTCAGTATGGCTGCTACAACTACTGAAACAGGGCATGGTAAGATCACCATGTCTTATGGTTTTCTTATAAAGTTTTGAGAATCTTTGGTTCTTTCAAAAGAGTGACTCATCATGTCCTGTCTGTAGCTGCCTTTCAGCATGTATTCCAAAACCTTGACCAACTAAATGGGCGTGTTGGGGCAACAGACACAGAAGCACTCTTCTTAAAGGGTTTAATGGACAGTCCTGTGCTGAAGTCTCTGGTGAAGGTGAGATACCACATGCTCGCATTCTCTTGTGTTATTACTGGTAATAAAGCTTACTTCTATCTTTAGGAATTGAAAAATATTCTCTCCTGATGTCCAAACAGGTGCAAGATCGTTTGGAAGAAAAGAATGGAGTGCCCTCTCCACATCCTACAACAGCATCAAGCTTCCAAATTAGCTCAGAGGTTGACGAGCTTTGTTCCAAGGTCTCATCAAAGGAAGCAAAAGAACTTGGAAAGATCCTCAAGAAACCTCATCTTCAAGTGAGTTTTAGTGATTCCTAGGTGTTGATCCTGAATTGTGTACTGTAACTGGAAACCTGTGGCCACTGCTTGTGTTGTTTCAATCCTCCAGTCTCTGCTTAAGACCCAGGACACCATTGCAAGAAAGCAATATGATGAAGATGAAGTGGATTCTGATCATGGGTTTAAAATGGCCCCTGTGGAACTCCCTCCCCTACAGTCTGATACTGATTCGATTCAGGAAACCTATAGGATGGTGGGATTGAGGAAGCTTCCTTCTGAGCCACTGGTATGTGCAAGTGGATAATGTGGATATTTGATATGTTTGATTACATCCAAACAGAAGTAGTGCCAAAATAATATTTTAAAATTTAATTTACAATTTTTTAAATACATCATCATGGACATGGTTACTTCTTCTTTACAGGGTATCACAGTTCGCTCAGAGAATGGGAATCTGGTTATAGCCAGGATCCTCGGAGGAGGAATGATTGATCGTCAAGGCCTGCTTAGTGTTGGAGATGTTATCAAGGAAGTGAATGGAACGCCTGTCAGCACAGCAGAGGAGCTCACAGCCAGGGTGCAAGAAGCTAGCGATACAGTTGTCTTGAAGTTAATGCCCAGTTTTGCTGATGCTGGGACTGGTTCGCAGGTAATGCCTGCTTACACTGATCCTATGCATGCTGTGGTAAGTTGTGTCTTTGTTTCCCTCATAACTTATTTTGACCTTGGGTATTATTACTGTACTGTGATGATTTAATTTATTTATCATGTGTCTGTCTAGTCCTTTTGAATTTTTGGAATGTAGTTACCTGGTGTATTTAAAAAAGGAGAAAAGATTTCTCATAATCACTTTCCTTATCCCTAAATAGTGTGAAGATGAACACACCATATTGTTCTAAATAATTTTTAGTGTAGCTGCATGCAAATTTAAACTTACATCAATGACCAGATCTAAAACAGCCATATAAATTGCAGGACAGGAAAAATCTCATCACCACTAGTGGTGAATTAAATTTCCCACTTGGAAAAACAGTTGAGGTTGCAAATATCAAGGTGTCAACATTGGCCTGACATTTGCTCAGGGTGCTTTGATTAATTAAGATAAATTTCTCAAGCCTGAGAAATTTCTCAGGCCCATGTCCAAGAATTTCTTGGGGTTGCTGGTTAAGGGGTCATTGTGATTTGGGCATAGGGCAGATCGGCACAAATAAATTAGTCTGAGGAAGATATCTCATGAAACTTAGTTCTCAGCTCCTCTTGTCACTTTTTGTTAGGACTTAATCAAAGAATGCTATATGCACCACTGTACAGATAACTGTCTATGAATACCGTTTTCAAGAAAACTTGCTGCCATCAGTAGGCCTGTCTAACCTAGATGTCCTGAAACTCTGGAAAGATCTTATTACTACTAAGTTCAAGAAGTGCACATTTTCTCATGATAGGTTACCAGAGAACTGGTGGTATCTCATTAGTTGTGATTTTTCCTGTCCTGAAGTATAAGAACTAACACCTGTTATTGATTTATATATAGCATGCAATTGATTTTTTTGTTGTCATTTTTCATCTAGAAGTAATGAGTGGTTTAATTGCAGCTGTCACAGGTTCTAGGAATGAAGTTATGTCATTACATTCATGATTCATGCATAAAGAAATGCAGCAGTATAGCTAAATTTTAAAAGCTCAACTGAGATATACTTAAGGCAACTGCCATTTTTGTCTTTTATATCATGCCCTTGACTCTTCTGAGCTAAAGTTAATTTGTCTTTCAAAGGTTCAGCCTGATTCATTGGTAATGGCAACAATCTCATAAAGGTGGTGATGTCTACACAGGTGTTTCTTGGTCTTCTGACCCTGTAAATCTCAACTAAGAAGCAATATGATGATAAAAATCATTGACTCTCAAATTTCATTGGGATAAGCCAGATGTAACAATCATTAGGTTGATAGATTCTTTGGGGATTGTGTTAACACTGGTTAGTTTTTTTTTCACTGCCATTCTGGGCAATATACCATTTGAATGACCTGCATTTTGCTGCATGCTGGCATAAACAAGGCTTACCAGATATTGAAATTGAGTGACGAGTGCAAAGTGGCCTGCTGGTACAAAGCAAGAAAGAGTTACTTAAGTTTCAAGTGGATAGAAATGAGAACAAAGGAACAATAAGTATGATCAACAGGCAGGGAGATTATAAAAAAAAATATAAGCACACATGAATTTGCATTGGATTGATACTAGTTCCAGGGAGGGTAAAGCCACCTTTCTTTTTCAGACTGGGCCCTAACTGAGGAAAGGGAGTGTTAATCTCCCTTTAGAAGCTTGTCATTGGACTAGTCTGAAAAAAAACAGACTTCATTTTTGTCAGCATGCAGGCTTACCACTGCCTAAAGTGGCAGTTGACTGAACCTTGTTTTAACTAGCATGCTGCATTTAGCAGCATGATAAGTGTGTAAAATTGAGTAGTAACCTCCTTAGTTTGATATGAATCTCTGAGTTGCATTTGGCCTGTATTGAATGTGCATGACTGAAATGACCTTGTTTGGGCCATTCAAGTTCTTTGACCTTTTTTGCATATTGCTTGCATCTCATCAAAATAGTAGGTTTTGTTTTGACATAGATGTCATGTCATGCTTGAAGCACAAGTGGATGAATTGGATTTACTTGGTTTCACCTTTGGGATGTGAAAAAAGAAATTTGAGTTAGTGTTCTGTGTCACTTCAATTCTAATAACTCTTCTTAGGCTCACTCTTTCCCATGGGTTCCTGAATGGGCTTGGTCTTGTATTGGTACTAGTGCACACAGTGAATGTTCACCCAATGATAAGTTGTCAACCACTTTCTCATTCTTGAATTAGAATGGATAGAACTAATGCTCTATCACTCACACTAGAGCTTCATATCTGCTTGTTTCATTGTTGCCCGTCTGGGAGGCTCCTGTGTAAGCTTTTCATTTCATTGCCACCTTATGTATTAGTTCTTCAGTCAGCACCTGTTTTTTTTTTTAGTCTAGAGTTGAATCAAACATCACATCTTATTGATTTACCCAGTGCTATATGCGTGCCCTATTCAACTACAACCCAGTCGAGGATTCCCTGCTCCCATGCCCAGAAATTGGGCTACCCTTCCATCAAGGAGATATCCTGGAGATAGTGGACCAAAGTGATCCAAACTGGTGGCAGGCTAGAAGAGTAGCGACTTCAAATGTTGGAGGTGCCCCCAGAAGTGGCACAACCGCAGGACTGATCCCCTCCCAGGAGCTTGAAGAGAGGAGGAAGGCATTTGTGAAACCTGAATATGATTACGTCCACAAAACAGGCATTTGTGGCACAAAGGTATGACAGCTGACTGGGCCTATTGCCTTTTTTGATTCTCTAATGTATGAAGGATTGCTGATTCAACAAATCCTTCTCACTTTTAGATCTCCAAAAAGAAGCGAAAGCAAATGTATCAAACAAAATCATACTCAGAGTTTGAGAAAGCTGAGCTGATTCTCTATGAAGAGGTGGTCCGAAGTCCCCCATTCCAACGAAAAACTCTTGTCCTTATTGGAGCACCTGGTGTAGGACGAAGGACATTGAAAAACAAGCTGATTACTTATGATCCATCAAAATTTGGATCTGTCATTCCATGTATGATTTTATTATTGTACTTTGACTCTCATTCTTTCATTGTTTCCTTATCTCAGGTTCCCATTTTGGACTCTGATTTTATTTTGCAGTCACATCCCGTCCAATTCGAGAAGGAGAAGATGATGGTAAAAACTATCATTTCACTTCTCGAATAGAAATGGAAACTGATATCATTGAGCATCGATATCTGGAGTATGGGGAGCATGGTGGGCACCTATACGGTACAAAGTTAGACTCCATTCGCCAGGTGATACGCTCTGGTCGTATGTGCATTATCGATTGCGGTCCTCAGGTAAACAACATCTTACTTTATGCTGGTTGCTGAAGTGATTTCCTGAAGTGTTTGACATCAATTGTGTGGTTTTTTCTTCTTCAGTCAGTGAAGATCCTTCACAATAGTTCTGAATTCATGCCATATGTGGTCTTCATTGCTGCACCCGGGGTGGAACAACTGAAATTCATGAATGAGTATGGACGTGTGATGGGTCATTCCTCTCGGAGTCTCACAGTAAGTTATTGGTAAACTTTAAGTGAAACCACAATGGAGTTGATAGCACATCTCCACCTCATTTTATTTCAGGTAGCGTTTCAGTTGGGTTTGAAGATGCAGTTTTAAAATTAAATTATTTCCTTTTGAGTTCTTTTTGGATGTATCTAATAATGCATGTTTTCATACTTGTATGCCAGTTCTGGCTTTCATGTTCATTTCAATTTCTGAGTAAGTCATTTCCAGAGCATGCTCCTTTATTCTTATGTCTTTTTTTCTTATTATTTCGAATTGTAGTTTCCATCTAGTGTTTAATTTGAGTCAGATACTCATGCATAAGGAACATGCTATGCATAGTTATCCAAATCATGTGGAAAACTGTCTGATTTGGGTGGGAAACAGTTTTTTTAGCCACATGTCAGAGCCCTGCTTATATTTTAAAATCATGTTTCCTTTCCTAGTAAGTTGGCCAAGGGAAAAAAAGAATAAAACTGAAAAGACAGCCCAAGCTTCTCTATGTTCAGATGCTCTTATTGTTATTTTGCTGTTATGATGGAATGCTAGTGTTGGAATGAATCTCAATGTAATTGTGCTATTGTCTGAGATGAAAGTGAAGACAGTGTGCTGCATGAATGTGTCTTTGTTCAACAATCTAGTTTGACCGTGCCTTGCGCTACAGTAGCCGAAGAGCTCGCACCATGGAATCTCTTGCAACTGTCTATGAGGTAAGACTTGTTGAACCTCAGATCTACATCCTTGTAATTCTGAAATTCCTTGCAGCTATAGGCACTGGGCAATTTTAACCCAGGAATTGGTTTCCATTCAATTCATTTCCTTTCTGTCATTTTTATGGTTGCTTGATTTCAATTTACTGGTCTACCTCGCTTACCACTCTTATCCAACAATAAATATATGTACACACATTCAAATTTTGTCTAACAAAGATATGGGGGGAAATGCAATTGACAGTTTTGAAGGAATTATATTCTCCAGTGAAGTAGGAATGCATTCTTAATGAACAAAAATATGAGTTGAGATAAATTTTGCTATGAAACCACTAATAGCCTTTATAAGATTATCCAAAAATATTTTTAGAGTTTGTTTGCCCTTCAGATTCTTGAAAATAGATAGATAGATAGCAAATAGGAAATACCAATGGTACCTGTCCCACCCAAACCAATCTAGGCAATGGGGGAATGAATCCTGTTACTAGTAAAAATTCCTTAAATAAAAAGCCTCCTGTTTTGCCGAGCAACCCATTGCATTGACTGATGTACACAATTGAGTCCACTTTGTACTTATATAATAATAATAATAATAAACCCACCTGCATAGGGGGAAGTATACCTCCCAGTAAGGCTATGGAAGTGTTAAAGGATGATTGGAAGTTCTTATATTATAATGCAAGGGAATGTTTCATTTCTTCAGGATGAAGATCTCCGCCGCACCATGGAAGAAAGTGCTCGTCTGCAGCGTGCCTATGACAAGTACATAGATATGGTGCTGGTGAATGAAGATTTTGACTCAACATTCAAGAAGCTGATGGATGCGCTTGAAGTTCTCAGCACCGACCCTCAGTGGGTTCCCGTCCAGTGGATATATTAGGATATCACATACTTCCATCAAGCGCCTCACACATAATCAATTCCATAATGTATGTTGACATGCCCTGCCACAATTTTTGTTACCATTTCTTTTGTCATGTTCTTCCCAATGTTGTCCATTTTAGCAGTTACTCCCATTTATGTCTCATATGCATTTCCAAACTTGTACATTGCAACAGGATTGTGAAAGCCAAACCAAGTAGAAAACTAGTTTGGTGAGATGAGTTCACTTTCATTTCTAGGAACCATTATTCATGCTGCAAGTGAGTTGATGAACTTAGCTCCATTTATAGAATCCATTTGCAATCTCAGTACAAGATTTGAAATTACACTGTATAGCAGGAATTTTGGAGAGCTGAGAGCTGGTGATGTCTCTGATGGCCGATGTATGAATGACTGTCTTGTGTTTTCATAACTGGGCATATTGGAGGCAGCTCTGCAATGACACATTCCAGTAATAATTAGTCATCCCAAATATATGTATATGGAGAAATGATAATTATATAAGCATAACCCAAGGTTGGATTAAATTATCAGACCCCCAGTGATCTATATAATTGTGACGTAGAGCCCCTCATGTCTCAGTGATCTACATTATTTTATGGAAAGTTTTCCAAATGCCATTTTTCAATCCATCCATATATGACAGCAAACTAGTTTCCTAGTGTTGAATGAGCTTTGTGTATTGGTGTTATGTGTGTTGTGTTGTTGCTAGTTTTCATTTAAAAACTATCTAGTAGGTATAGGATTGCTGCTTCATGCTGGTTGTTCCAGATCTTGACCCATCTTGGAAGGCTTGTGTGTTATCTGCCTACTGGTACTGCTCATTGAATTAATTGAAAATTTAAAATTATCTCACATTGATATGTTTGAGCACTTCAAGAACATGTGAAACTGCACGTGTTGCTGCCGTACCCAGTGTTACGACAATCATGGTTGTGTCTTGCCTTGGATGTTGTGTTCAATAGATGCTTCAACAGATTTTCTCTGTAAAAGGTTGTTGTAGAGAGTCATATGCTGAACAGAAAATAACTCAATGTGCCTGCTCCTGCCTAAGGAGATGCAATGCTGGAAGGAACCAGCAAATTTTTTTTCAGTTGTGTTGTACAGTTGTGCTTCCATTTGGATGAAGAAAAATATGCATGCATCAGTGAAACTGCTCAATTCATGCTTCTTTGTAATTGCCAGATGCTATCATTTCAATTTTTTTGGTAGACAAAATCTTTGAGAGGCAGTGTGATGGATGTGCTACAGGAATTTTAGATTATTTTTTTCTTTTCAATTAATAGAGAGAGTTATTGTGTTTCAATCAGCCATATTACCAGTATCTTTGCCTCAACTTCTGTTAACCCTTTTGAGTCCCTGATTCATTGAACTGTCATTCCAACCTTAGTGTTGTCTGCTATCATGCTGTCATTCATATATCCATTCAAGTCTTGCTATGCCTTCATTGCATTTATACCTGTGTGTACTAGCTATCCATAGTTGCACTATGTTTGCCTCTTCATATTGTGTTCCAGTATCCATGTTTGCCAAATGAGTTTTTTTTGTACAGTTTAAGACATTTTTATATTTTTTACACTTTTTACATGCTTGTGTTCTGTTCATTCAATTTCATAGTCCCTGTATCGAGTCATGTTCCTTGCCATGATTTTCCTGAGTTTGAAGTAATTGATTTGGATCTGGGTTGCTGCAAAATGCTCAGGTACTTGGTTTCCAGGAGAGCTTTGATATCCAATGCACAATTTTACTGCCGTCAACTGACATTCTTGGGCCCCTCCCCTCTTCAGTAATCCTGTAGTTACATTCAGGCCAAAAACCATAGAAAAAGTAGATTATGCACTTCAGCTTGTCTCACATTACGTTCATGAAGTTTACGAGGATTCTCCTACAATACTCCCTCCTCCTCTCTCCCTCATGGCTGCTGGTCCATGGCACTCCATATGAATACAATGGAAAGTATATGTCATAATGGTAATGTTGCTGTGTATGACACAATTATTTTTTCTGATAATTTGAATTTATTCAAGAATCTAGTTATAAATTCAGGTTGTTTTCCACATGTAAGTGTATAGTCTTCATGAGTTTATTGGAAAAGGCAGCTTTTATCTGACTGAAGATGTGGACCAACTCATTAGCATGTTGTTGCTATGGACTTTTTCTGCATGACATTTCAACATCTGAATTAGAAATAATTATTTGTTTGAAGATACAATTATGAAAGATGTTAAAAGGCAAAATGTGCAATGAAGACTCTTGAAATTGTGGGGACATAATCCAATAGATTATAACTAGTTTGTTTTGAGCCTGGAATGGTTCAATGGTAAAACTTTCATCTAAGTACAAAAAAAGTAGCCAAATGAATAGTTTTTCCATGGAGCTGTTTCAGGAGCCTGAGCAAAACTTTTAGGTGTTAGTAATCTGTTGCAATGAACAGCTATATAGCTATTGAGGAATCCTGAACTTCAAAAAGATTTTGATGTATTTTATGACTTAAGGTATGGTTGCCATAACGTTTGGGGTTTTTTAATGTACCATTCCAAAAAAAATAAATAAATGCTTGAGAATCACCAGGCAGGATGGACCCATCCATCTTCATCACCATGTCAACAATTCTGCAAGAGTCTCCATGCATTGTATTCTGAATCAAAGGTGAAGAGAACTTTCCAATAATATGGAATTCCATGGTGGTGGCATGAAAGTCTGAGCTATTCAAAGATTAAGATAGACCCCATAGTAAAACTTAAGGGAAAATTATTTGGAATGCTTCATTAAATGCTCCATGTCCAAATTTATAAGACTTGGATGCACTTACACACTTGCTCCAATAAAAAAATTTAAAAAATCGATTTTACTCAAATTCTCAAGTTAAGAACAGATATCAAGATCTGATTTTATTTTGTAGTCATCTCTCATTGCAATTTAGCCCTTAAAGACCAAAGCCATACCTACAAACATGGAATGAAGGGTGGTTTTACCAAATGAACTGCTGAGGAAAATTTTTTGTCTGAGACATGAAGGTATAAAGTCTTGACATTCTTTGGTTTAAGCTATCATATCCTTTATTACAATGTTACTGAGGAGTTAAAATGCATTCTGCCCATGGAGTATCTCATTGAAAGGATCTGTTTGTAGAACTGAGTTGTCGTTAAAAATTAGCTAGCACTAGGAGTTAATTTCTGCATGAATCTTTACTTGCTGGTTTCATCTATTGAATATGCATTAATGCTCTGAATGATTCATTGAAAGGTTGTGATTTTTAATGAGCACTGCATTTTGTTCTGAAATGGATTTTCTGCAGGAAACACTTCTTGGTGCAGTCTCATCTAGAGTGTCATGTCTACTGGCTAGGGGACCACTTCTTCCTTCTCAGTTTGTTTACAGTCCACTTCAGAAAGCCAGTGATGAAAGTAGAAAGGTCTCTCCTCGTGACCACCTTTTTTCTATAAATTTGGTATTTATTCTAACAAATCTGATAACCATATTTGACTATTCCCTTGTACTTGTGTTGAAAATCAGTTGAAAGCCTGGTGAACTCATTACTAAAAAAGTACTGTCTCTTGATCACCTCACTAAGATACCTGGCATATATACATACTTGTATTCATATTTTAATAAAATCAGAGAAGCATGTTCATATTTTCCCCATGCAAAAAAAAAGTTTTGTTTATTGAAATATTTCAACTTTTTCAGGAGCTGAGTTCTTTTTGAAAGATCAGTTGTTTGAGTCTGGTATGTTGTGTGGACATGATCTTGCTTGTATGATCTCTTTGGTGAAACCCATGAAAAAGTTACGTGTACACATGTATCTGTCCTGATACTAATTCATGGCATCACCATGAAATGCAGCATCAAGGTGAAGGACTGAGATTGGTCTTCCTCATCTGAGATGTTTCTGGGATACATGCTTGCCTTCTTGTGTCCAATTCATGATTGTGAGGAAGTGAGAATTGTTTGCATTGACACATTGTCATAGTTCAAAGAAATCAATAAGCAAGCACTGTAGTTGTGGTTCTGCAACAAAGAATCAAAATGAACCTGCATCGCTTGAGTTTCACTTGTGAAATGACATCCTTTGAGTCTTTCATATCCTCTTAGGACAGCCTTCATAGGCCTATTGAAATAACAGTGACACCAAGAACACTTCTCATGGGAGTGTTTATTTCATTATGCAGGATTTTGAAAAAGAAAGACCCTCCCTCCTTACTTCAAACTCACTTATTTTTGCCTGTAGATGTTATCATGAAGCATGCACTGCCCACAGGCTGATATGTTCCCCAACAGATTTTTGAAATTGCATCCAAGTTTGAAAAGTCAAAGCTAGGCTGTAACAAAGTGCTTGAAAGAATCCATAATTTAAAATCGACTGGAGCCGTTCAGAACTTAGAGGACATTTCACCATGGCTATACATTGTAGACGCCACATTGAACACCTCCCATTCCACTTTCTTGGTAGCACAAGAACAAGAAAACATGCAATCTTTGCTCTGAGAAGTACAGAACTTTTGTGTTCATGGATGAGCAGGTTTTGAGCTCAAAGGTGCTATTTGCTCGCCTGTGCCCTATACATACTGACGCTTCTGAAGGGTGTTAATTGGACGTTCAATAGAAAATTTTTCAGGGATGTTGAGGGAATACACAATTTGGACGGTTTTTGTTCGTTCAAAGTCAAGGTCATTTTAACGCTCCATTACCATTTTTAAGACTGTCAACGCGCGTTTTGCCGAAATTAAAAGTAATAATACGTTCACCAAACATCATTCCAACCTTTGTTACTCGTACGGTGCAGCTGGCCAAGTCGTCTGACACTCGCACAAAGTTGCCTTCAATCAGAGCATGATGACAACTTGCCAATTCAGCAAGTTATTTCCTGATGCATTGGAATAAGTCCCCAGTACTTCCCATTCGATACCTGGTCTTTTCCCACGGACGACTTAGAGGAAGACTTGGATTCTTCAATACAATCGTCTAGAGGTAATGCAGCCCTGGAAGACTAAAATTACTGATAATTCCGGCTTAGAGAATGAGAGAGGGATAGTTCAACTCGCAAACTAACTCCATAGGATAATGATAAAGATGATATTGAACAATAAGTAATGGATGGATATATAATATAAAAATCATACATGCAAGCTGTGCCTGATTCCTAGAGATAAGTAAATATGGGCCGTGACGAAGGATTGGTTAAAGGGTCTAACCTGATGCGCAACTATGGAGCGGGGAAAGGGCCAATGACGTGAAGGGGAACATGGGAAAGAGTAGCATTGCTGTGAAGGAAAGGGAGGGGTGGTAGTACGTTAAGTTCTGTTGATAGAATGTCGGATTAGGGAAAACAGACTTCGCCTGTTTTCACTTTTAGTAAGGACGCCACTGAACACATCCGTTTTCATATCCAAGTTTTTGTGCCTCACCCGTTGACGTTCAGAACGTTCTATTTTATGAATCAGCCAAAGTACAGTGAACACCCCCGCTTCCCAAAAAGAGACCTTCATGCAGCCGAGTCTCTCCCGGTCTGGTAGTTGGAGTAATACCTCTGTGGGCGAGGCCGCCGAATGGGATCGCGTGTTCTCCGTGTACGTAAGAGGGCCCTATTATATACGGACTGACTCCAATTAGATAAGTACCGGTGAGATTTGGAAGGACTAGGCTGTTCAGCAACAATAACAATGGATATATTGACGGTATACAACTCACTCGTATAGTCTACAGGCACCAGGCAGGAGGGAAGTTAATAAGTCGAGGGCGACGGGAATAATTTACAGGTCCCTATACAATCCAGACATACAATACACACCGTTATACAATGTCACACGATCACATCCACACTGTGTCTGTCCACTCTCTAGTCTCGCCTCCACCCCCTTGTCCCGGTCCGGGGGAGGTCTCTTGGAGGTGGGAGGTATCCGGTAGGGGGTGGCTCCTCCTCCACTCCTTAGTGAGGTCCGCCGTGAAGCCCACACCTCCCTCTTGATGGTTTCCTTGTGAGGCATAAACTTCCTTCACGAGAATAAAACCACAAGTATCGTCCTTTCTTCTTTTTCTGGTATAGAGTGATTCCCGTCACACATCTGGTTCTTTTTCCAGTACGGGGTGACGTGCCAATAATATCCCTTTTGTGATGCCCCATCACGCGAGATTTCATCCCCCCTTTGAAGAGTCACGCAAGGTCTGCACAAAGACATGAGAAGAATTGACAGTCCTAGAGTGCCTTACTCGGTACTTCAAGAAATCAGGTTCATAATTGAACCATACTTCCTTCATTCTCTGCGCCAGAATTTCCTGAATTGAAGTGACTCGGCACATTGGCGATTTAAGCGTCACCTCGCTTTTGTTGTGGGATTTCCTTATTTGGATGAGCAACTGCCACATGACTTTCCGCTGCCCTGCCAAAGTGGCACAGAAACGGTATACATTTTTTAACATCCTATTTTAGAGGTTTTTTTTTTATTTTGCCAGGGGCTCCAATTAATGTCCCTAATGAAAAAAAGTTCTATGAAGCATTCAACTTCTTTCGAGATCCTTAATATGAATACGATATTCGTGATCAGGGGCTGCATTTTATTACGTTCTTAAGTGCAACTTTCCTCTTGGCAAGGTGCTTAGCTGGTCACCCTGATGATGTCGCCCTAAATGAGCGCTCTGGCGCTCCTCATCCATGGACAAGGAACGTTCCTCACCTCTTTCAGCAAAGATTGAACGTTCTTGACCCGATTGGAAAGGTCTGCTGGCACGTGGATCAATTTTCACTGGTACCTGCCCATTTTTAACCTTGTATGAAAACCTTTTCCCCCCTAAGACAAGCAACGTCTTTCAAATTTTGTAAGACAGTTCGGGGACCAGTTCCACCGAATATGATAAATTTTGGTGCATTGATCGTGATTAACTCCTCTCCATTTGAAAAACTGTACAACTCAACCTGGTGGGGTTGAGTTGTAGTTTTCCGAAGCTTACCAGTTGTTATTAACTTCCCCTGGCGGGAAAATAAAAAAAAAACACTGGTGTGCGATGACTGAGGACAAATCTATATTATTTGAATTCAGGTTTACGGCGCCATGGAATGCTTCACTTTTCTGAGCTAGATTCTTGTTAATGTCGGACTAGACTTCGTAGATCGATGCAAGTGCTCGCATCAGTGGTCACTAGAACAATTTTTTTTGTTGTTGAAAATGGAGATCTTGGAAAATGAGTTCTTAGCATGCATTTGAGAAGAAAAAAGAGCTTTGAAACGGTTTTTATAGGCTAAGGGCGAATTACCTGTCATCAGGTGAAAAGAAACTACGTCGAAAGAAAGGACCTGGGATTCATCCGAATGCAGTCCTCCCATGCGTAGGAATTCCGATCTTAAAATGACCCCTTCTGCATCTAAATAGCGGATGAATATCTAGAAAATAAATTGTAGCTTGGTTGAGTATGGGGCGCGTCGAGAGTGAAACGTGAGAGCAAGAGTAAGAAACCCCCAGTACGCAGTATACAACCCATAGGCTACGGCTGCAGGCTGAGCGACGAGAGGAAGTGGCGGGATCGCTGCGCAGCCGCCTTTCATTGCGTCAGTAACCATGGCGGACAACACTCGGCTACACGACCTCATTGTCGATGGAAAGCCTATTTCTTCTTTGAGAGTAATTGATTTGAAGTCCCAATTGGAGAAGAGAGGACTATCCAAGTCAGGGAGTAAGAAAGACTTGCAAGAAAGATTGATCTCGGTAAGTTCCAGGCTGCTTGGTGATAAGTGACGCTCGGGTTAGGTTAACGTTAGGCCTTACCAAATCCTAGACATTTTCTTTAACGTTAGATCTACTACAGCCAAGTTAATCATCCCAGGTAGTGTATTCGGATTTACATCTCTCCCCATTCCAAACTTCCAATAAGTTTACTGACGCCTACTGCTAGCCTTACGAATTAAGGTTCTGTTTCGTTATTTTGCCTGGAAACAGGATTCCTCCAAAAACCGGATAAACTAATTAGCTACTGTTAAATCAGTTCATTGAGTTCACGTTTGCTGTAACTAGATCTAACGTTAAAGGGAATCTGAACTTGAGTTATACTGAGTGCAGGTAATACCTAAACCTGTCTGAGAGCTATTGGAGGTTTATTACATGCCTTAGACTGTTGAAATAGCATGCATAAAGCCACAACTGACATGAATTCATTAGAAAGTCATTGTACTCTTTTGTCTTTCATGTGACTATGAAATGTTTTCACTAAACTCAGAGCATTGTAAATCTTGTTAAGCCAATCCAGGAAAAGTGTGAAGTGAGGATGGAAATGTAAGATGTGTAAATCATTCTGCATTCATCATTTCCATGAACTCAGGCCAGTACTGCATTGGTGCCCTACATGTGATCTATGTATTACCTGAAATGATGTTTTTTGACTGATAAAGCAATTTAGGCTGCTGTATTCCTATTAGGCTTCAACTGAAATCTGGGCCTTTAATAGGCATAGGTCAGTCTATGATTTCCTTTACGGTGTATCTGAGCTGGGTGTATGGTATTTGGACTTGAGGCTTCTGATGCAAAATAGGTTTATAATATGTTATGGCTGTAGCCAATGCTATTTTCAATGAATGACAGAAAATGAGTTGATGTGTATTCTGCGAAATCTCCCCCCCTTTCTGTATGAAAACCACGTCTACTTTAGTACCAGATCTTGTTAGGTCACATTACTCTACCACTTTAGAGTTAGAAGCAGTACATGTAGTGGATAGTTGCAGCAGTGTGCTTTAGAATTATGGGTAATTGTGTCAGGTGTGATCTACATGCAGTCATGTATCTACAACTTCCACAATGTCATGTTGCATGTGATCTCACTCCCTGATTCATCATTTGCCCATCCTTTGTCTTGCCTTTTACCTTTTCAGGGTCATTTGAAACCCTTCCACCTTTTACTGTGAGTACATGGTTAAAGCTGTGTTTCTTGTGTCTGGTGTGGCTTAAAAAATCCTGCCTCCATGGCGAACAAAGCATTCCAAGCTTAGCTGAATTTGGTATAGCCAATATACTAGCTTGGTCCCAGTAACAGGTAGGCAGTACTTTAGCTTTATATGTTGCATTTAGGTGCACATGAAGGGGTAATCAAAATTTTTAGTATGCAAGAAAGTCCAATGCATTCTTCACTTACATGGAAAGGTGTGGGCATGTACACAGCAATCTGTCTGTTGCAGCAATGCTTGAGCTTCCTTTTCTATGGTGCAATGAGGTTTTTTACTTTGTACTTTTCTGGAATTTATATTTAAAATCAACAACAAAAGATTCTTGGCTACCATTTGACAATAGCATTCACGTCTGCTTGTTCATAGATCATGGGGCTCAGCATAGATCACACCTGACATGATTACTGAATTAGGTACACTGCAAATCCTGCCCTGCACCTATTAGCATTCCTCTTCAAGTCTTCTCTTTCATGATTGAATCCAACACCAATTAAATTGTTGAAATTTTGCATAAAGACTTGCATTATGATTTGTAGGCCTATGGCTATACTTACAGGGTAATCTTTGTCTTTTCCAGCACCTCCAGTTGGAAGAGTCAAGAGAGAGCAGTTCACAGGATGAAGATCATGTTCCTAATCTTGAGGTGAGCAGTTGAGCTAAATTTTAATAATGGTTGTCTCAGGTTTCTAATGTTTTTTAACATTAGAAACCTGAGACAACCATTATGAGTTGAGTTGAACACCTTTTCATTAAGTTGATTTTACTTGATCACAAAATCATTCCACAAGGCTTAACCTGACATCTTAGTTCAAATTTTTTAAAAGTTGAACTCAATTGAAAAACATAGTAGTAAGGCAAAGTTAAATGAGAGGATGAATATAAAAGCCATTCTTCCAATTGAATACAAGAGTCTGCAATAGGTAGGATTATCATTCACCCAGAAAAATTAAATATTCTAATCTCAAATAGTTACCATTGAAACAGTGTTGTGGAGCCTTGCATAAACTCTTGCTACATATGTGTAGTAGTTGCAGTGAATTACCTTCTTCAATCCCTGTTTTTTCTCAGCTGCAAAATGCTGCAATAGCAGAAGACAATGACTTCATCCGAGAATACCTTGCCAGTCAGCAAGCTATTTATCAGGTACAAAGGGAGGCCAAGAAGAAAGTAGAAGGTACGAAGCATTTGTATTTTCTTATATTGGTTATGCATATGAAGTACTAGCATTGTATATTGCCTGTCCAGAGCACCTTTACAATTGGTACTCCACCTCAGATTTTTGTGGAGTCACCTGGGATGTGTCTTATTGGGTTTCTTGAGGCCATTAGTGCATGAGATACGAAGGCACTTTGTCTGAAAAGCAATGTTTAAAGTCATGTATTTACATTATTCTCTATGGAAAATACGGGATACGGAGGCAGCCATGTTGAATGGAGGCCGAGAGCACCCTGTTTCATTTTAACAATAAACGCCATTGCTGCTTCAGTATTCACTTACTGAATAATGTAATCACTTCTAAGTTCAAGACTAAGACTAATATTCCATCAACTTTTGTGGGTTTTCACTAAACCCAAGTGCACACCATATAAAACATACATACCTAGGGAGCTGTATTCCTTTAAATGTTGGGCCGAAAAAGAGAAAGTCAACTTATTTTGAAGAATGATGGGTTAGAAAATATTTGCTGCCAAAGGCAGCAACCCTTTTCTAATGCAACTAACCCATCATCCTCAAATATAGGTTGACTTTCTTTTTGGCCTTTGACACCAGGAAAGGAATCAGAGGTCTATGAACCTTGCCGGTGGGCTGATGGGTCTCACCTAAATGAGGTAGACTAGGCTGGAAGTGCGTAAGAAAACCCGACCAGAACGACGTGACTCAGGTCAGTCCGAGAGGACTGACCCAGGACCCGAATACAGTGCGCATGCCCGGAAAGATTCTGGTCATGTTAGCAGATGCAGGGGTTTGGGTGGTGCGTGCGATATGGCCACTCCGGGTTGCTGAGGCCTGTTATGCGTAATGAGTTTCCAACGCTTATTGTACAAAACTGCGTGCATGCACCACTTAGAAAAATTAGGCGCTAGTTTATCCATATCAAGGTATGATCATGTATTCACCTTTCCTTAGGAGTGTGAGTACCAATTGTAAAGTTAAGCCGCATGTTCAATATATAATAGTGTGAATGAGAACCTTTCCAGTTTAGAAGTTTTCTATTCACATATGATCCCACTGTGTACTCAGAGGAGATTCGGAGGGAGTCAGAGACAGGTAGTGAAGCTAGTCAGGAGGAGACAGATTCCAGTGAAATAGGATCACCACCTGCAGGACGGTCTCCAAAAGGACATCGAGGAGGCTCTCGACGTCACCTTAGAAGGGATTCAAGTGGACCACAGGCAAGAATGGATGTTTCTTCATCTTCCAGGAAGGAGCAAGAAGGATCACACCGGAAGACAAGGCTTTCTTCAATGGATGGATCAGGTATTTATTGTGATAAGAGTACCTGCACACCAAATCAGTCCAAGCAGTCATAAATTAGACTTCACACTGCATCAGTGTAGTTTTTGACTAGACTGGACTGATTTAGTGCACAGGCACCTTAAGGCCACCCTTATTTTGTCTTGTGATATTACATCCTCGTGTGCAGTATTTGTGCTGTCCATCTATTTAAAATCATTTTATCTTTAGAAAGATGGAAACTTATATTTATCTGATATCTATGAAGAGCTGAGTGTTAGGAAAAGTGCCTATTTTGTACTTCAATTTTAAAAATTGGCTGCAGATTTTAAAGAGAACCAATATTCAAAGTTAGAGCTCTGAAGTTTGGAGATGATGCTAGTCATTTATGGCTGGCATGAATAATATTATTTTCAGAGAACTCTCCATGATTCTTTCATCATTTTGAGCTATTGTGCCTTCTCCCCTTGAATGTGCATTATACTATGCCTTTTATGTATTGCATAAAGCTATTCTAATCTGCCTTTGCTGTGGAAGTTGCCATCACCATCAAATTCAATTACTAGCAATCAAGGGAAATAGAAGGAAATATGTTAGCTCTAGGAGTAACAGGAAACTTCTTGAACAGGTTTAGTTGAAGTGCTGATTTGTAAAAGCAATTCATTGCCCTGATGAAAGCTTATTTCTTTCTTGTCCCATTTACTGTTGCTTCTTTCATGAGCATTGTACAGAGTTAAAAAAGTCGTGCGACCATGTATAGGTATCATTTTTAGCTGGCATATTGATCTTCAAACTCATGCTGGGTACCACTTTAACTTCTGGCACTTGTGTAATGCTCTACCAAGAATATCCTTTTCTGCAATGAGAAACTTCTTGCATTTCATGCATGACTTTTTGAATACCCTATGGTATCTATTTGTAATTTTTAAATGCAGGTATTTCCATTCTGCTACTTCAGCAACAGTGATCCTGATTGGTAGTGGGTGATTCTCAAACGTGAAGCTTCATTTTGTTGTCTGTTTTCAGGGGGTCGCGGGGATGTGGAGATTGCTGTTCCTCCCAAGGACATATCATCAGTGAGTTCTGTGAATGCCAATTGTAGGTCTACTTTAGAGTCTGGTTTAAAATCACTTCATACATTTAATTTTATTCTTAGTTGGGAATAGGTTACCTCTTAATGCTGCTTGGAGTTTGTGGTGGGAATGGTTTTCAGGACAAATGTAATCCTAGCTACAGGGATGTATCTGCAAAAATTCTTAGATCAGCTTACTGAACATATCTTGTGTTGTTCTTTTTGATGCTTTTGTTTCATCATTTGGTATAGAATTTTTGCAAGCTGTTAACCTCACAGTCACCTGTGGATCAATCTTATTTTTATCCAAAAGCAGGTCAGTCTCTGAAAATGTGAGCCTGTCCTAAATTTTGGTGATCCCACTAATTCATCCCAATGAAGTGAAGTAATACTCTGGGTAAAAAAGGCTTTATGGTACTGTGGTTATAAATAATTTCCTAAATAAATATTTGCCATGCAATACAATATACATAATATCTGGAAATGTGCTCCCTTGAATGAGAATTACATATTTGATCATCTACTAGCCCATTCACCATCCCACAATGAATTATGGTGGTAGTCTCTTCAGGACCATAAACTGCATATAAGTCTTGCCAAATATCCTTGTCATCTCATCTGTTGAAAAATGAGTATAAAATCCAGGCAGTGCACTTTGTTGCATCAGCACCTTCATGGCATTGGTTTCTTAATTTCTTTGAGGAGTATGTGTGGCATTTTGTTAACTTGACTTGTAAGCTTCCATCATAAGACAGATGTTCATGCTGAATAATCTAGGAATGTACCCCTAAAGTCACTTCAAATAGTCCAAGTTTTTGAATTTGGTATTAACCCTGGTACATTTTCAAGTGTGCTTTACTCTTTTTTTCTTGTTACTCTATATCTCTAAACCCTAAGGTTGCAGAAATGTAAATATTAACCATGTATATATATTTTTAACAGTTTAGTGTGAAATCTTTCTGTTGTTTTCACATCTATAGATGGAAAAAAATGAAGAGTTAGTTGAATCAGTAGTGAAGGATGATCTTCAAATGACTTCAGGAACTGAAAGCAGTTCACAGAAGGGTAAGAAATTCCTTCATTTTTCCTTGAAGCCATGTAGTTTCTTTTGCTATTACATACTGTAACCATGACCAAATTTTCTTGTGTGATTGATAGATTCAGTTCCTGCTCCATCTCAAGACAAGGACATGGAAAATGTTCAAATGTCAACCATGAAAGCAAGAAAGGATGATAAAATGCTGCCTGAGACAAAGCAAGATAGTAACAAGAAAGGAGAGATTTCTGCTGAACTTGAAAGTGAATATCCTCTGGGGGCTGGTGCTGAGACTCAACCTATTGAAGGAAAATCTACTGTAGCAGAGAATGAAGGGAGATTAGAAAAGAGAGATTCAGAGGAGAACAAGAAAATAGAACCAAGCAAGGAGATACAGGAATCCCCAGATAATAAGAAGCATAGAAGAGAAAGAGAAAAGAAAGATTCAGGTTCTCTTCACTCAAAAGAAACTAATTTAGATGCAGCAAAAAATGCAGAAGGCAAGAAAATAGATGAGGGCACTCCTTCACAAGAACCCTCTAGGGAGGATGATGTGAAAGAGAAACACAAACACAGAAGAGAAGAAAAAAAGGAAAAGCACAAGCATCATCATCATCATCATCATCATCGAGAAGAACAGAGAGATCACAAGGATGAGAAGGAAAAAAGAGACAAGGAAGACAAATTGCATTCCAAGGAGACAAAGATTGACAAGGATCATGATCAAGAAAGACATCACAAAGATGACAAGGACAAAGAGGAAAGAGAGGAAGTGGTACCTGGTGATCACAATAAACAAGAGGAAAAAGAAAAACAAGACAAAGTGGAAAAAGAAAAAGAAAAACTAGACAAAATTGAGAAAGAAAAAGAAAAACTAGACAAAATTGAGAAAGAAAAAGAAAAATTAGACAAAATGGAGAAAGAAAAAGAAAAACTAGACAAAATTGAGAAAGAAAAAGAAAAACAAGACAAAATGGAGAAAGAAAAAGAAAAATTAGACAAAATTGAGAAAGAAAAAGAAAAACAAGACAAAATGGAGAAAGAAAAAGAAAAACAAGACAAAATGGAGAAAGAAAAAGAAAAACTAGACAAAATTGAGAAAGAAAAAGAAAAACTAGACAAAATGGAGAAAGAAAAAGATGAGGATAAGCACGAGAAGGAAAAGGATGAGGAGACAAGGAACATGAAGATGGAAATTGCAATAAAAGCTGAATTTTGTAGTCCAGTGCAGGAAAATTTCAAAGACAACAAGGAAGCAGAGGTGATTGCTCATCTCATTCTATTCCATCAAGGCCACATTGTTCACTGAGGCCCAATTTTACAACAGTTTTTCCTTTTTTGATAGGAGAAACATAGAGAGGATATTGGAGGGAACATCCAGGGTAAAGATGAATCACTTATTGATGAGAAGAATAATGGCAGGAGAATTCGACTGAAGAGGAGACCTCATGCTGGATCTGAAGATGTCCCTTCACCCAAGTGAGTTTTAATTTTACTTAGCCATATCTGTTATGTTTAATCCTTTCGATTGTGCCATGTCTTAATGAAAAAGAACAAGTATATATTATAATCTTACTGCTGCCACCTATGATGAAAGCCACAATGAATCTAATTGCACATGAATGTGGCATGTCTTGAGTTTCCATTATAAAGTGAGTTGCTGGAGCCATCCATATTCATTAAGTTTCTAAGTTAAGAAGGGTCCCTGAATCCAAGTAACACTCAAAGATTATCTTTGAAGTTTTCCTATGCCCATGCTCACCAAGAATGGAAATTTGGACCAAGGACTAATTTAAAAGATAATGAAATTTACTTGGCCTTGATTTTGAATTGTTTTTCAGCAGTACAATTCATTCAGGCGAATTTAAAATAAGTACACTGTATTAGAGTAGAACTATATGGGAAAGGGGTTCTCAAATGCTCTTTAAAATATCTCCCAATTGAAGCAGTGGGATTTTGATTGGTTTTTGCAAGGTAGTGCTGGCATGGCAGAGTACTTTCATTAATGGCAAATAGCACATGTAACTACCAGAAACATGTGCCGATCATTTCCCAAAGTGACATTATTTCTGATGCTTATGTTGTTTTCACACCATGCTGACAATCCAACCCTTGGGTTTTTTCTAGAAGCCATCTTATTGCAGACAATGATGGTCATTAACTATTCCCATGTTCATTCTGCATTTGCTAATCTCTGCTAATTCTTTTTGCATCCTTAGAGCTATATTATTGACTGATGTATTTGATGCCTTACCCCTCATATTTTCCTTGACAAACATCTCATGTTTGATTTGGTCAACCTGATTATTGCATGGATGAACTGAAATTATACATCTCATGACTGCTAAAACAAGTCTTGGAGTGTTCATGCCCTACCACCTTTAATATATCTTGAGCAGCCTGTTTACAGGTATTCCACCATTTGGTTTCCTGCACATGCATGTTTAATAACTTTCTTTGATGCAAGGCACCTTGCTTCTCTTTGATGTCTGTTCTGAAGCTTTCTGAGTAAAGACATGAGTCTATCAGAGTTAGGACGAATCAGTAAATTGTGCATTTTGAAATTAGGAATTTTCATGAATGCAGTCCCAGCTAAAGTTTACTTTGAACATTGCTTTGATTTAAGCTGAGTTGTTTTTTAGTATTTACATACTAAAATCATTTTAGTATTTAATATATACATACTTTTAGTATATGACTTAGCCAAGAGCTAAGTCATATACTAAAAGTGAAAATTAAAATATTTAATAATTCTTTCCTGCAAAGCATCTCACTTGTCCTCTATTAACCCTTTCACTGTTTAAAAAAAAAAAAGCCTTCACAGCCTCCACTGTGTTATAAGAATTGCACTGTGTCTCTGCAAACAATGTTTAAATTGTTATATCTTGAAAACTATTGATGATAGACCAAAATGTGTTTTAAAATGTATTTCCAGGAACAGCCAGTGTTATCAGAAAAGTGCAGGAATTTTGAGATATGTATAAATCTATTGACAGACATGATTTTACCTAAAGTAGGGATGATAAAAAGTTCATCAGTTTCCAGTGAAACTGAATAGTAGGCCATTTTGTAATGCCCAATAAAATCAGAGCCAAAATATATGTACAAAATTCCTATATGGATAGGTTTTTCCTTTGTTTGGCCCTTGGCTATTCACCTGAAGTGTTAGAAATAGGGTCTGATGCAAATTTATATGTTTTTGTTATTTTATGTTCAAGGAGGTTTCCTTGAGCTCATATTGTCAGGAACATATAAATTGACCTGGGTGGATCATCTGTGAAAGTTAGTTCAGAAATGTCTATCTCAGGGATATTGTCTGGAGTATTCATTTTCAATCCAGAATTTCCTGTAAAAGTCAAGAAATGAGTTGCATGGGGATTCTTGCTAAACTCAGGTAAATCAACAGTTTTTAACCCCCTTGGTCTACTTCTATTCCTGCTTGCTTTTGCACTCCTATAATTGTAATCTTCATCTTAAGTTTCAGCTTCAACTTCCTTTTTTATATCACTTTCATTTTCACTACTAACACTGGAAATGCCAGAATCAGCATTAAAATTATATTTATTTCATCATCTAACGCAAAACTAAGCGAGTAGGAAGCCATTTTTACAGAATGGGTAGATAAAAATGCGCACTTTATTTTCTTGTTATTCGATGCTTCCAAAAGTCACACATTGACAAAAGCAGCACTCTTGCATAGAGAAGGATGTCTTATTTTCAAAAATACTGAATACATGTCAGTTACATCCATATATAAAGGAGAAACAACCTAAAAGGACTGGGTTTCAGAGCCTGAGTACATACTCTGGCTACCATTGTAAAAGCGTCATGTGTAGCCCGAGTATATACTCTGGTTAACAGCTAAAGGGTTAAGTACCTTCATATGATGTAGTCTCAGGTATTTATTGAATATGGCAATGACCACGGCAATTATATTCCTACCTGGTTACCTTTTCATGATTTAGAGTGCCCAAGGAAGAACTGGAAGTCAGAGGTGATGCCCATTCCCCCAGAGAGAGCCAGAAGGAACAAGAAGAGAGAGTAGCAAGTGAATGCAATCACACAGAATTGCTACCAAAGGAAGACAAATGCCTGCCTACTAGTCTTGAGAAATCTAGCAAGGAGAAAAGTAGTAAGAAGAAGACTTCAAAATCAAGCAAAGATGAAAAGAGTAGAAAACTCAACATCCTGGAAGCAGATGAGGCAGCTGATGTAGTTCAGATTGATGTGGAAGATATAAGAGATGCTATAGATATGGATCTTGATGAACACCTCAATCCTGATGAACCATCTCGTACAGAAAGGTTTGATTCAAAATCTGTTTCTTTTTTTAACCCTGAGCTGCATGACTGTAGTGAACTATATGCTGGATTTTGTTTTTTATTTCCTTCAATTTTTAGTAATATTTTCTCACTACTTTCTACCAATATTTTGAAAGGAGGTCAGTTCAGTATACATACCTGGTTATTTAGCTTTAAAAATCATTCTGAATGTAGAACTTCTGATTATATTTACCACCTGTTGTGGTAAATATAATCATATTGGTATTGGTACATTGGTAAAGATTTCTGCCACATACAAAACAAGCACCTTTGTCTGTATCAGAGCTTGGTTGATTGGTTTTTCACCAGAATCTGTAATTGTCAATACCAGTTCTTCTATTCATGCATGAAATATCACAAATGACTTGGTTTTTTCCCCTCATAAGACTTTTTCTTTCTTTCTTGCATTCCAGTGGGGAAGAGAAGGAAACCACACCTCCAGTGTCTGAAGGAACAAGCAGAGTCCCTCAGAAAGTGTTTCCAAGGAGGGTTCTCAAGCTGAAGCGAAAGTCAGAGCAGGAAGGCGGCCTGGTCAGTAGAACCATTGCTTTATCTAGACTTGACTGCTTTTCTGTGCAGATTCCAATGGCTATCACATCCAATTGCTAGAACATCTCATTCATTGAGCAAAAAAAAAAATTGGCTGGAGCTGAGGCATTGCAAAATCAATGGATTTGTGTTCTTCAAATCAAAGTCCACAAATGTGACTCATAAAACTTAGAAAATTATAGAAAATGGAACTTTGAATTACTACAGAATATACTAAATCAGAATTAAGTGTGAAGCCTTTCTGTTCTAGGAAACAAAGTCGACTAATTATTTTTCTGTTTTACAGGAAAATGATAGGCCTGCTCCAAGTGAGAAGACCACACGTAAGTCATGGAATTTCATGTTTTTATTTCTTTTAATAATCTGTGCAGGATCAAGAGAGGGCTGCTTAAATTCTAACAAGCACTACTAGCTAAAACTGTACAAATTCACATTAACTACCGAGCTTGTCATGTCCTATTCAAGCTTTGGATGTACAGCTACACATTTAGAATGTGGCCTTGTGATCTGTTTCTCAGTTTGCAACAGCAGCTTTTTCTGTAGCAGTTAACATCTTAAAGATATACCCTTGAACTCATCCTATTGAATGATATGCACATCAGAATGCCTGATATCAGGTTTTTCTATTCTATGATTGATCCCTCTGTAGAGCTGAAAGTTCAGCATGCTTCATATGCATTATCTCCTTTCAAAATTAAAATATTCAGGGATATTCCCCATTCAGAAGTTAATTAATACTGCATGCTCATTCATTTTTAAGTACTTCTTTTGCTCTAAAAGAAAATATGCCTCTGATTAGGTAGGTTTGCTGTCAGGATGAAATGCTGTGCTTCACCCAAGATTCAGGGGAAACTCTTTGAGGCAAGATAGCCTGAATGAAAGAATTCTTACTTGCATTACTCACATACTTCAGTATGAACCCATATCTCAGAAAGCCAGACCAGCTTATGCTTAAATGTGTACCTACAATGTCTGTGAGCCCTACATACTATGCAGTCTGCAGATGATAGTATTCTGTAGGCCTTGAATAACTCCTTGGGAAGTTGTTTTTTTGTATTCTGTTGAGGCCGATTTAAATATGGGTTATGTTATTCATTATTTAAATTAGTTCTTTATATTATGGTTTTTGGATGCTATTTTCTAAATGTTATTTGAGGTGGGACTGAAGCTTTGAATTCTGTACTCATTTTTGTGAAATATGAAAACATGTATAATATATGCTTATTAAATATATGTTTTATTGAAGTAAAGTCAAGGAGGTCCAAAATTTCTCTGGGACCATCCTTCCCACAATTTCTGGCTTCGTTTTTACAGATTTTCTTTATTGTATATTTAATTTTTCCTTTGTGACACTCATTTCAAGTACTTCTAAAATTCATTGCCAATTTTTCTCCCCTCTAAGCAGTAAGCACAAATACCTTATTTAATTATGTCACAGCATCCTCATTCCCGAATCAATAATCCTTCTTTTATTAGACTGGAAGTAATTGAGACCATGAAACAATCAACTGTCTTATAACAGCATGAAAGGAAAGGTCTTTGACTCATGAGGAAAGTATCAAGAATAGAGCTGAGGTAATGCAGGAAAAAACAATAGATGGAAGAAAATCTTATTCACTTGAAATAATTTCTGTTTTAATGTGCTGTCTGATTTTTTTCACTTATAAAAAATAATTATTTTGTCAACCTTGATTTTAGTGGAATCAGGTCATGATGAAAAGGATAGCAGGCAATCATCTCGAAAGCGTAGGTGGAAAGTCAATTCTGCTGCCCCTGAAGTCCCTGGAAAGTCTGTGGAGATTACCACAGATTCTTTGAAGGTAAATTCCTGGCTTGAGCTTATGATTGTATGGAAAAGACACAAGATCCTCATTGTTTATGTATTAATTTGTTCAGACGCTGATTGACACAACTGAAGTTGAGGGAAAGGATGAAGAGACAATGTCAGAAGGAGAGGTAAATGAATCAGAAGAAGAATTGACTGCCCCTGCAAGTGAGAAAGAGAAGACCAGATCTCCATCACCTCCTCCTGTTAAAGAAGCTCCCCAGCCCATGAAGCCTAAGGAACCTGCTAGAAAAGTTACACTGAAGAAGCTTCCACCTAATGGTAAGAGCTAGTATGATATGCTGATATCAGTTGGTTAGTCAAGTGTCAGATGAAATTGTACAATATGCCTGTGATCACTGGTATACTGTACATATATCACTGGAAGATAACTTCTCACATGCATTGTTTCCACTCTCTTTACCTTCTTTCATGTTTCACTTCTTTACAGTGTGCTTCTTTGAGGCACAAAATTGATAGTTGTTATTAAGTTCTTTGTGCATGGTAAAGAAAGTCATGACTGAAAACATGCTTTTTGGGTTTTGAGGTCTGAAAATTTGCCTGAGAAGATGCTGGCCTAGTTATTATTTTCACTCTTAAAAGAGAACCTTGTACTAAAAATAGGGACTGCAAAGCAAAAATCTTGAGCTCTGTAGGCTTTGAACCCAAGTGGCATACCCATAGCAGCTGATGAAATTATGTTCATTTCCAGAAGCAACTGTGCCATCAAACAGGGGCAAAAAGGATCGAGGTGATCTCACACCACCTCATTATCCACCTAGCCAGGTCATAGTGATCACCAATCTCGTTCGTCCATTCACTATTGCACAATTGAAAGAATTGCTTGGACGAACAGGAACTCTATTAGAAGGAAAATTCTGGATTGATCGGATCAAGTCCAAATGTTATGCAATGGTAAGATCCCTGTGAGAGTAAACTCTTAGTTGGCTCTTTATAATTGAACCTCCATTTATGTGTCTCTGTGGTTTTTTTTTTTTTCAGTATCAGTCCAAGGAAGAGGCCATTGAGACAAGGCGAGCTCTCCATGGAGTTAAATGGCCTGTTTCCAATCCCAAAGAATTGTTTGTAGATTTTGCCACTGTGGATGAATTGGATGCTCACTTGAATGACAGTGAGGTTGGTGTAGGACGAATTCCTAGCACAGATGGGCGAGAACAAGTCCGGAGCAAGGAGCATGATGAGGGGCGGGAGAAGCACCGTGAGCATCCTGACCACGAGAGAGATGAGAAAGACCGGGATCGCCGTGGAAGGGAACGAGGCAAGGAGAAGGATGGAGAAGACAAGAACCACAGGAGGTCAAAGGCAAGTGTCTTGCACCCTAGTTTTCCAGTTTATTAACTTATCTCTGCACAATATGTGGTTATTTGATGTTACTGTGGATTGTTGCACATAGACGGATCCAAACATTCGAGAATGGGATCGTGCTAAGATTGGTGAGCGATCCCCTGGTGAAAGAGAGCGTGAGAGAGAGGCTCGTCGTAGAGAACGGGAACGAGAACTTGAAAAGAAAACCCGCGATCTTGAAAGAAGTCGGGACCAAGGTATAATCTTGAAGCTTACTGCAGCCATTTCCATGTATTGCATTTACAGTATGAGCTGTGCTAGAGCAGTCACATATAATGGTACCTCACAGGAATCATTGCAATTATAGTGAAGTGCACAATTATAGATTGAATTATTTCATTGATACTGGGAGTATTCCAAAAGTTCCTGGCCTAGGGGTGCTTTCAGTTTAAAGTGCACCATTCTTCCTTTTCCTTGGTTGTGGCTGACAATTTGGGGATTATTTTTTGTTCTGAGAGGCTTTTAAAAATACACGAGAAATTGTGACAAGGGATAGGTTGCATTACCCTGGATTAGGTAATCTCACAGCAGATATGTGAGTGGAGGGGACATCAAAGGGGTATTTCTTCAGCTGCATAAAGATCTGCTGTGAGTTGAACCAGTCCATGGTGAGAGAATTAATCACTACCCTTGTCCCAATTTTCTATCATCTGTAGGTCATCATCAAACTCAACAGGTCGGCCTGAACGCGCTTCATCGGCTAAGCTGTAGTCACCACACCTGAACTTCTGGAACTACCGTTGGCATTCCCTCACATTTAGGACTTCCTCACCAAAAACATCTTGAATGTTTTTTGTGGCTGCAGTCGCGTTATTCCCTTTCTTAAATTCATAAAGCATTTTATGCCGAATGTGTTCCTCTGACACCTCCATCTTGTTTTTAACGTCTAAGAAAAATGGAGCACTGTTAACTCGTTAAAACCTACACGTAGACTGAAGACTAACGTCTACACAAGTTAGCATAGAAATATTCCATGAGATGTGCACAGATACACATATAAACAAGACACAAGTTTGGCAATGCGAAAAAACTGCATTACTTATGGGATGACCTGATATTTATTTTCAAAGCCCCCCTGGCAGAACAATAAAAAAAATCCACATGAACTGTCGGTCACAGCTAAATATGATCAAACTTTGCCAGTTTGTTTTATAGATGCAGTTGGGTGGGATCAAAGGAAAAAGTATGGAGAAGGAGACTCACAAAATCAGCACAAGTCCTTGATTGTTATAATGCAAGAGTAAAAATGGTATCTATACCTTTTCCTCTCTGACCTTGCTACTCTGTTTTACCCTTCTGTCTGCATATGGCAATCAAGGACTTCTACTGACTCAATGAGTCTCTTCATTTTATAGATTTTGGTTAAGTGTTATTTTTATCAGTGGTTTTTAAGCACTCTGTATATGAAACACATTGACGGTGTTTGTACAGTCAGAGCAGAAAAAGAGCCAAAGGAAGCTCCTGCAAAGCTCTTGGATGACCTCTTTTGCAAGACCAAGACCACTCCTTGCATCTACTGGCTGCCGCTCACCGCCCAGCAGGTTTGACCTTAGATTCTCGTATGAGCTATATGATGTTCATGCTGAGCTATAAATGTAAAAATCTTTCATTTTCTGTTCTTGGGCAGATTGACGAGAAGGAAGGGCTGAGACGACGGCGAATGGCTGAAAGAGAACGGCGCCTGGCTGAAATGGAAAAGGCTGACAAAGGTCCCCGACGAAAATGGCGAGATTAAGACCAAGTGATTTTTGGGTTGGCATCTGTTGCAGTGGCCTCCTGTGTTTGGACATCGCATCATGTTTGGATTTTTAACACTGGTGGCAGACGAGAAAATTTTCAAGTGATTTGAGGATATGCTTGCACATGTTCAGTGCCTGAACTCATGACCATATGGGTGGTTTAGCTTCTCAAGTACAAAAGCAAAATCACTCAGCGTTGCCAGTGAAATGGAATTAAATGTTTCATGTTTCGACTTGGGTTGCTGCAGCAGGAAATCGCCTTCCCAGAAGACTCTGGGACATGGAAGGTAAGTGACTTCAAAAGTGAGTTGGCCATACCTAAGGGCAAAGTAGTACAACAGTTTGGCAAGTGGGGAAAGAGGTAAAGGGATGCATGGTATGCATCATCATGGGGATATGTCGTGTATAGATTTATTGATACCTCGAAAGAGGTGAGGTTAAGAAGTGGAAGCAAGAGGACCCATCCAATCCACGTGACTCGGTCACAATAAAGGTAGGTTACATGAAATCCATCCCTCCACACACCCCTTCCCTTGTCATCCTTGACTATCCTGATGGAGTTTCCCTTGGTCCTAGAACCAAAGCACTGCCCCACAACGTAATGGGTATGGTAGGACTATCTTCGTTTTTTGAGGCCTGCTGTTCACAAAGAAATCATGGGTTGATTGTGCTGAGCTCACTTTTTGATATATCGGTTTCGCCATTTAAACGAATAAAATTGGATTGTCTTCGCCCGCCAATGGTTTTTTTTTTTTCGTTCGAAGTTCGCACGTCTATGTGGAAATGGTTCCACATGCGCAGGAACCATCCGATTATCTTACAAGCGGAAGGCCCAATCTGTGGCAACGATCCGCGATCGACGCGGTCTGAGAAGGCCAATCTAGTGCGATCGTGGGAAGTGCCATTAGTAAGCCTAGGTCACTCATTGATTGGCCGATACACGAGCCCTGGTTACGACTCCACGGCAATGGGAAAGTTGCCTGGTTACGCGTGAAATACATATGCTGTAAGGCCGCGTCGTCGTCTACGAGAAAGTGCAACGGGCGACACTGAACTTGTGTGCTACGTTTCCCCTCATTCACGTGTTTCATTCCAAGAAATTCATTCGGAGCGACCCACCTGAGATCCTGTTCAAATCGGTGACGCCTTGCACGTTATCGTTTCGTTGAGCATTGAAATCGTCGAGCTGATGCTGCCTGGGATGGTCATGGCTCATCTCAGATGGGTTTTTCCTGCACTCCTCGTTCTCGGTGGAGGTATGTTTGATTTCTGTTGACTTTCCTATTATATAGGAAAGTTCAATATTTATTGATATATATTAATATTAATGATCGTAGGATATCTAGTTAGGTTTAGCAAAGGATGATTTTCTCCTCCCGTTTGCTAAGTGATGGCCGGAAATAAGGAGTGTAAGGTGGATCCGAAAGTGAGTGAAAACGACCCTAACAATCTCTACTACTGTGACAGCAGCATGAGATGCTGCGACGAGAACGGCCAGCCAACCTGCTGCGCGAGTCAGCCCAGCGATGCCGCCGTGTAAGAAGGCCCGCCCCCCCCCCCCCCCTCCCCCCTCCCCTCATCCGCTCCCGGCTCTGCAGTCTCGGACTGGGTTCCTCTCTCCCCCATCCAGGATCCAACAGGTGAAGCTCTGGGGAGGCGTGTTCGGCATCATCTTCCTGGTCGCCTTGGGGATGTTCTTCTGCCGGAAGGACGTGAACGTCCTCCCCGAAGATCGGACCTGCTGCTGCTGCCGACCCAAGGCCACCCACGGAATGCAAAGGTCTGTTTCCTTCTCTCTCTCGCCTTCCCTCTTCTGCACTTCTTTGTAATGTACGACGTGCGACTCACCTTCCCCCCCCCCCCCCCCCCCACCCCAAAAAAAAAAACTATTATGGCGGAAAATGAATCGAATCTGACTATGAAATCTGGAGATGTGATCCGACGTGAATGACGTTGGTTTCTGACATCGGTACAGTACCCATTTTCCAGCTCTTTTTGTCGGACGAGGCATTATGCAGCTTAGTTTCTCCTTAACTTTCCATCTATGCCATGTCATCCGGTCAAACTTTTCTTTTTCCCACCCTATAGAAGACACTTATAAGACCCATTTCTCATAGAAATAGGGTCTTATCCGTGCCTTTTTTTCGCACTCGATCGACTCACGCCCCGAATTTTACATTTCAACCATTGATTTTCCCTCGAAACCAGACTCCGCCCGGAAGATGCGCATCACAAGATGCCACCGCCTGGCCCCCTGGCTCAATCCGCTTGAAGTGTGACGCTCTCCAAAGACTCTCCCGCAGCTTCTTCTGATTGGTATTTTGCCCACCGTATGTTGATTGTATTTCTCTGACGAACCGTCCGTCCGAGACTGCGATAGCTAGCATTCGACCTTTGCTCGGCACTAAGCTCTTCTTAACTCCTAACTTAATTTCTTCGCTCATCATGTGTTTGCCTTTTTCTTTCTTCTCGAGAGATTGCACTGGCCTAGTGGCGCAGGTTCTCCCGTCGAATAAAACGCTTTTTGTCAAATAAAAGAGAAGTCTTTTTATTGTGAGTGAATGGGAAGTCTGGCAGTGGAAGCGAAGTAAAATCTCTGGTACCTGAAGTAGCGTATTTCGTCGGCACGATCAAACGAGAGTTCAATGTATCCTGTGGGTCCCGCAGAAGCACGTGGCCCGGCAGGCCTGCTTCCTCTTCTTGTCCGACTCGCAGAGCCAATCGTGCCAAGTGGCATTCAGCTCCCGGCAGTTGACCCAGAAATCTGCAAACAGGACAGTGGTTATCGCAGAGCATGTCCCCCTAACACGAGTCCCTGCACCCCTAGCACGGCTCTCCCGCCTCGTACGGGCGACCCAGCCTGGACAGGATGTTCCTGCTGGAAAGGAGAAAAAGCGGAGGGATGAGTCTTATTCGTTCTGCCTTCCGTGCGTTTCGCGGTTCGGTTTCACTTGGAGAGACGAGAAACGTTACTTCTGGAATTTTGGCTGTTGCTAGAATGTTATCTCCGCATAGACTTAACACGTTGGCTGCCAAGTGCATCACCGGTGATTTCCGTGTTAAAAATTATGTTCTGCAGGAACGTGTCAAAGAACGATGCAGTGCCAGTAAACGTAAAGTAAAAAAAGCATTATTTTTGCTTTAAAAGGCATGCGTGCCATAGCAATTGTTACCACGGCGACGCATCAGAACGACACAAGTCAGTAGCACCAGATATTGGCTCAATGCTGGACCGACATGGTTGCGTTGGCTACATTTTTGGCAATATTGCCAATATAGGTTAAATATTGGTTCCCCTAATATTGCCTTTCCATCATCGATCCAATATTGGACCGACGCGGTGACCCAATGTGCCCGACCGCATTTAAAGTTTTTGGGAAATGTTGAAGTTCTCCTTCAGGCCACTAGATGGAGGTATAGGTCTCGCTTTTCGCACAGCACACCAAGTACCCTTCCCTCTTTCCCTGTAATCGTCCCACACAGGAGTCTTTAGTATCTCGCCATATGTCTCGCATAGTCTTATTATAGCAATCAATAAACTTGGACACTTCATCATTTATTATCCCCATATTCGAAACAGAATAATGGAGCTCAGGCCATGAACAAGCTCGTATTCCTAATGAAAAAATGGCGACCCTTTCTGAAAGGAGTATTAGAACATGGAAAGTATCCGCGTGCTAGAGTCTCTGTTGTCGCGTCCTGAGGACATAATGAGAAAACGAGGGCCTGAATTCGCAGATACTCCGTAGAACAGTAGGAAGTGAACCTTCCACTGAAATGCACTACAATTAGTACATTCAAAGGAAGATCAACCTCTGTACTGTTCAATGTCTCCTGCTATCCGTGGGACAGAAGTGCATGGGCAGGGGGTTGTACTGGTACAGGCCGTACTAGTACTGCTGATTGAAACGCCTTCACCATGGGAATAGCTTCACTAAATAAAGAATTTAGAGCAAATATTAACGCAAATATTGGTCCAACAAGGGGCCCGGTAGTAATCCCAATAATGGTCCAATATTGAGCCAAGATTGGGGTGGGGACTGGGGCAAGCATGCCTGCCAATGCCGACGATCTGCCGACGTTAACATGAAGGGGCCATTGTTGGGCCATATGTCTCACATTATCTCATTATAGGAATCAATGAACACGGACACAAAAAGGCTTGAGAAAGAGTTCAACAATCATGTATGTTCAAAGTCATGCAAGGAAAGATGTCAAACCTTCAATCATCCAGAGATATATATATACCAACTCCAGAGTTCAACTCAGAGATTCAACTCTTTTACTTCCTGGAGCTGAAACTGCAGTGGGGGATGAAAGTGGCTGGATTTTGGGATTCTTTTTTAATGCAGAAAGCAAAGCTATTGCATCTTTCATATTTTCATTCATTGTATCAATTATCTTTGAAGATCATTGCATCTTCTTCTTTTAATTCATGCATTGCCCCAATCAAAGTGTCATTTAACTGTTGAAAGATCTCCATTTGCTCTTTGTAAGTGTTTCTTTTCCTCTTTAGAGAGTTCAGATGCATGACAGTTTCTTCATCTCTTCACAACATTTTAGGGAAACATTCAGCCACTTCTTCCCTCTCACCTTCTGGGGCAACTTCAATATTTAGCGTGTTGTTGGTGCTGAAAGTGATATCTGCTTCCTCTCTTTGCTGTCCCTCAATTCTTGAGGTAGAGCAAAACTGCATTGCATCCTTCATGGTTCTGACAACCAAATGGATATGTTTGCACGCTGTGCTTCTTAGTCCAAAATCTGTGCATGTGCATTAATACATATGGACACAAACAGAACACTCCTGACAATGAAGGACACAGAGTGGTTGAGCACGGGGGATAACTGTTTCCCTTTTCACTTGATAGACTTGTGATCCATGCACATCCCAGTTACCATTACCCCTTTGAATCATCAAATCAGAGGATTGAGAGACTTTTCAAATGCCCATCTCATATGCCAAAAATGTGTGGGTGTGCTTTCCCTTTGTGGATTTTCAGCAAACGGTCAAAGCTCTTACCCTTCAACAGTCTCATCAGGGCATGGATACTTTTATCCATTATTTTTACTGTATGGCCTTTCAAGTACACATGCTTTAGCACTCGATGTAGAACTTCTAGATGGATGTTGTGATGGGCATGCAGACCAAGGCAGTAACAATATGCCCATTGCTTAAAGCAATTGGCATAGTGTTTCTCGAAGTGCACACCAAAGTCCTGAGTGTCAATACTCCCTTTCATGGATTCCAAGGCAGCCCCTTTGCTAGCAGCCCTGCAATCTGTTGACGCTCTTCATTTCAAAGAGTTATGTGGGCAAGTTCAGGGCCGTGACCAACATGGAATGACAAATATTTTACCATCACTCCTAGGTATAAGAAAAAAGTCTCAATGTGAGTGAAGATCTGTTACTATTCCTCGCAAAGAAGCCAAAAAGTTCCCAATGAATTTAGAGTTTCTTCATACATGGAGATGATGTATCAGGAAATCCACATAGTTGCAACCTTCTTCAGTCATTATGGGTCCCAAGTGTTAATGTCCACTGATGCACATACCTCTTGCTTTGACATTGATAAGACAAGATTAAGATATGGATATCACAATGTTTATTAAAAAGTAGTAATACATATATTGATACAATCTTGGATAGGAATGTCTTAACCAGAATGTATACAATAACAGGGTAAAATGGGAATGTCACAACCAGGCTGTCTTGCATGAATCATACACATCACAAGCTGCATTCTTTGGCATTCTTCATGACCGCATTGATCCTGGAGGCTTATGCGATAGTTCATTTAATTAGTTGTTCAAGCTTGCGAGCCAGCGCCAGCAAGCACGTAACACATGCTGACAACTCCAGGCAGCTGCCATGTTGGAACGGTGAAGCCATTCTGTGATTGGAGGGAGGGAATTGCAAAGCCACAGGCCGGACCAGCTTGTCTTCCAAGTGTCCAGTCCAGTCTATTCTATCACTGGTCCTTGATAGTGATTTCACCCAGCACCAGGTGGCTGCAAGAGAGTGCACATTATCTTCTATCCACTGGAGCTACAACACCATGGTCCTTAGAATAATGTAAAGTTGTACACTGTAGCCCTGGACCTACTAAGTCTTGATTCTGTTCTGATTTTAATTTACAGTTGCTCCAGAGGTACGAAAACCAATTGCCACAATGCTTATAGAAGGGGAGGGAGTGAAGAAAAGAGAATGCCTACAAAAGTGGTTCTAGTTTAGCCTCATGCCCTCATCCACTGTCGCATCTCAATGTTGATATACAGGGTGTCCCAGAATTGCCTGGACATAGATCCTTCTGCCTAGCTTATGGTCTAGAAATGCCTAGGCTATATTAGCCTAGCACTCTAGGATCTCAAGACTATGCCTTTCTAGTCCATCGGCTAGGCAGAAGGACCTAAGTCCAGGCAATTATGGGACACCTTGTATATACAGGGTATGGCAAAAAAAATGACCAAAGACTTTCAACCTAAATATCTTCCCTCCCAATAGTTATTTTACACAAAACTTTCACATTGCATATATGAGTATGTTTCTGACTGATACCTGAAATCTCACCAAAATTTGTTGTGCTGAAGCAATTCTTGAAAAGAAGCTAGACATTGAGAATGGACAAGAGCTCCTGCTGGTAGTGCTGGCCCTCTTGCTTTGCTGCCATCCTAGGGATGGGGCTTGAGTGTGTCCTTCACTCCAATACCAGCAGCTGGCCTGACAACACCTCTTGGTGGCTGACCGTGGATCCACCCAACCCCCCAAAAGCATGAATCATCTGTCACTCCAACCATCCATCAATTTCTATACCCCTGTATATTCTACTTCTCCCCACCTCATATCTGGCAAAGGTCAATGATCACTGGTTACGTTTTCCTTGGCTGAAAGAATGAAAGGTCACTTGTTGCTGAAGGCGAAATGCTGGCATGGTTTACTTGGAGTCACTAGTAAGGGTGGAAAAATGGATTTTTTGAGTGGACACAGTAGGAATTTACGGAGGCAATGATGAAGTGCATGCATTGCATGGATGAATACAGAGAATGGGGATTAGCATGAAGTTTGTGTGTGAACATGGGAAGTTGGCATAGTTAGGGATGGGGGGGCCATTTTGGGTTTATAGAAACACCAAGGAAGCTGTTTGGAACGGTCAGCATGAGCCCTGTCATCGAGATCATGGTAAATAACAAGAGATGTGTGAGACTACTGCTAGTTTCCTGAATCAGTATGGCCACCGCCATAGCAGGAGAGTGCATATAGATCCAAGAACCATTGCTTTTTGCTTTTAATGTGGAATAAAGTGACTTTACTGACTTCATTCGCAAAAATTAGTGGTCAATATGTTGTGTGTGAGGGTTACTTTTGCATTTCATCGGATTCTTCCCTTATTGGAGTTTGCCAGTGATCATTTACCTTAACCTCATATCCTTTTCCTATAAAGGGCATGTCCTGTAAATAAAGATAATTGAAAAACAAAAAAAACTACCAGTAGGAACACTTGTCCATTCTCAATGTCTAACTTATTTTCAAAAATTGCTGATGTAATTGCTTCAGTACAACAAATTTGGGTGAAACTTGAGGTATCGGTCAGAAACATACTCATACATGCAATGTGAAAGTTTTGCAAAAATAACTATTGGGAGGGAAGATACTTAGGTTAAAAGTTATTGGTCTTTTTTTTTTGCCATTCCCTGTATATAACTGTCACAGTAATTAACTGTTTGTGCTGTCGGGCCGATTGGGTCGACATAGGACATAGCAACCATTGTTGGTGGCACTGAAATAGGAATTAAACAGCAGACAAAATGTGTTATTACTTGCATTGATGAAATCCCACTCTAAATTTTATCTGTCATGTAGAAGTGAATAAAGGGTGCATGTGATGGGTATTCTTCATTATGTGAACACTGTGCACATTGCCTGAACACCCCCCTCCCACCCACAAAGTAGACTCCATCTGCTTACACTACTCCCGTGTACACCATGTGTCGTGTTGGCTTACTATTGTCCATTTCCCCTAATCTAAGAAATTGAGGAAAAAAAACTTTTTTCCCTTTGTTTTTGCTTGTTTTCAGATTCAGAATTCATTAATGCATTATGGAGATTGAGTAGAAAGAATGCAAGTTTACACATTATTTTTAGCTTTGAACAAGAGCACAGCATATCATTCATTTTCTGTGAGCCATTGCTCATCTGTTTTCCATCCTCCGTTGTGATCTTCCACATATGTTTCCAGCACTTGGTCCACTCACTTTCTCCAATTTGCTTGTTTTCAGATTGCTTGAGAAAGACAATAATCTCCAATGTTTGATGTCATGTCCATCTGAGATGTCCCATCATTCTGGACATCTATGGATGTGCATGGGAGGTGTTAGGAACACTGGACTTGAGATCTCTAGACCTTGATTAGTGGCTTGAACTGGAGGTTTTGTGGATGGCAACACTCCACCTCTAAACCTCACAAACTGTTATTCAGAGGGTTGCCATTTGCGATGGTACATCGTAAAGATAATGACACTATCAAAGAGGTTCTCTTTCCATTGACCTGCCTATGAATGCAGGACACTAAGACTCCTGCCAGGGAAACGAATGACATCAGGTTTACAGGGTGTTATGATTTGTAGGAGAAACTTGAATAAGAACTTGAGGTTCCAATAATTTTGGGTGCACAGCATCAGACACATAGGTCAATGAGCATGTAAAGAGGACATCTGCACCCCATAATTTGTGCTGAACAGAGGAGTGTTTGCAAGACAAAGTCGGCATTGCCATGGTGTTCACCAAGGTTCCCCCACGTGATCTCCAGCTGCACATTGAATGGATAATTGCTATTTTAATAGTGCACCCATATGTATGCATGAACTCACTATTGTGGGTTGTTAGCCTTAAGTAGATGAAACTGCTCAAGGGAGTGGATAAGAGTTTTGTGACAACACCTCATCACAATTGAAATATATATGTAATTTTCAAAGACTTCCTTTTCCTTCAGGTCATAGAATTCAACATGGCTGCCAAAGTGATACAGTTGCTATGTGATAACTTGAAGCTGATCAAGGATTCAGCCAGCTTGAAATTTGGACCAGGGACATATGAAGATTCTGCTCAGCAATTCTTCATCAACATGTTTCGAATTGGACAGATGATGGACAAACATACTCTCATGGAAAACACTGAAGCATTAATGTTGCTGAAAGAGAGTTGCTCCAAGTTCAATATAGAACAAGTCTGCTGGTTAAGACACTTTATTTTCATATTTGCAGAAAGATTTTATGGCAGAGAATGGGATGGTGATGCCAAAACAGAGTGTATCAATAGATCAGGGATTCAGTATTTCAGGGATTTGTATGCATATGTTGAAACAGTTGATGGGAAGAAACTGCAGGAAGAACTGGAAGTAATATTTGCTGATGATGTGGAATTTTTGGATGAACATTTTCAAGTTTGGGTGGAGAATGATAGGGATGACAGCATTTTTAAAGGTGACCCTCTAAATGTGCCTGATTCTCATTGGTGGTGGAAGCCCTAGCATCCTTATAAGCTGACAATATTTATTGCAATTTTGGACTAAGATGTAAAGCATTGCTTTTGAGTCAAAGAAAAGTCATTCTTCAGAAACCTGCTCTGTAACTAGATACCTGCATTGATAAAGATTCTTGCTATTGTAATAATGTTCCCTTAAAATTTTTTTATTGATATACCTATTTCTTAATTTGAGTCCATTCCTGTCAGCTACGAATTAAATCATTTCTAGCTCCTTATGGCTTTCTTTGATGCTTATATTCATTGAACCCAAGCAACAAGGTCTGTTACATGGGTGCTCTGTATTTCTTTTTTTGAGTGCCTTCCTGGAGCGACTGATTCCTTTTAAAGCAGAAGATCTCATTTAGGAAGATTGTTCCTGCTCTTGAGTATTGGTGATGTATACTGGATGTTTTTGAGTTCAAAATATCTGATTGGAAAGAAAGTTCTCGGAATTTCATGAACAATTAGTACAACCCAGTTTATTTAAAAGCAAAATCATCTCAATCATGAATGTAATCACCATTGGCCTCTATCACTTCACGCCAACGTTTATGCAAACTATGGATGCCATTCCAATAGAACTCTGGCGGCTGCGCTACGAAAAAGTTGGCCAAATCGGTT